TTGTACGTGCTGGCTTAGTTGGTGAATAACATTAAGGGAGGACTATGCATATGCGAAATGACAAATCTTAAAACATTCAATGTCAGAAACAGACCCCTACACACACACACACACACACACAAAACCTTGACTATAACTGTCACATGACAATGACACAGACACAGTGTCCTTAAAGGATCTAGACCTTGTTCCTGTTTCAGAGAAGTACGTGATCCAAGTTCTAAGATACATATATATACACACATATACATATCATAGGATCATAGGATTCAAAAGTTTAGATTTGTTAAAACAATCATTCATGAATGAAACAAGTTTTTCAGTGATGAATGAAACAAGTTTTCTGTTTTTTTTATTTTTTATTTATTTTTTTAAATTTTATTGAGGACTCCATAAAGAAGGTTTATAGTCGGCATGGGACTGAAGTTGCAAAAGTCTTTCCTTCCCTATTACGACGTGTAGTCAAGAAAAAAATGTTCTCTAGAACAAGAAAAACATTTAGGCTGGATGTTGATTTTGTCCATCGGGTATTGATGGGATCGTAGTGGTTTGCTATTGCTGTGATTTAATATTGCTGTGATTTAATGTGTGAAATCACACATTAAATCAAAGGTTGTCCTGCCCTCTTGCCAGTAAACATTTTAGAGAAGAGAAGTCATTCCAACTCTTAGGGAGAAGTTATTTTGATTAAAGAATGCAAGGGCACATTCATTTTATATAAAAAAGAATGATGTGCACCGTTTTAATAATTTATAATAAATAAATACTCAAAAAATAAATAAATAATAACCGTCACATTTGGTTTGTATAATGGTGACTTTAAGCATCATTTTACAACAGCTCAGTCTCTTGAGACAGTATTCTATGAGGCCAAACAATCTTTCAGATTTCAGAATTAATTGTCAAGGAGAGAAATACAGAAGCAGAAGTGATGTACAAAAGTAACGTTACTCACTGGAGGTAGGACTGCCAGTTGACCTTGTTTGCTCGGACCTCAGCGGCCTTGGCTGCAATGATGTTGGTAGGAACGGCAGCATCCACTGCCCCTCGGATATCCATCTTAAGCTCTTAGATATTAGGACCTGAAAACTGAAAACAATAAATCGTAATGTGCCACCATGAAAAATACTGCAGCATCTGTACTTCCAGCTAGCTCCGCTCGAAAATAGGTTAGAAACAGATAACACGGTAATAATATGTTAAATAAATATTATATTAGATTACTGCGCAAACGGGAGTGTATGCTGTTCACACACACAGACACACACAGACACAGACACTATAAAACTGAATTAACGTTAGCGTAGTAGGGGTCGTCTACAGCTAACGTTAGCTAAGTTGAACGGGCAAAAAAGGCGAATTGCAACATTAGTTAAAATGTAAATGAGATCAACTAAATTTGTAGGAGGTCTGAGCACGTCATTTCGAAATAATATAATCATATTTGTTATATGTCTTCTAATTAAAACTACTAACGTTAAGTTTCTGAATGGACTAAGCCACTGACAACAGCTAATGCAAGCAAACAGCGGCCTGTAAAGGTAGCGCCTTGCGTCAGTGTTCAATAAGACGTTGCTACACAGTTATCAAGCAATTAATTGTAGATCCAAAATCATTTTTTATAGTTGAAATATTATAAATATATCTGACTTCACGTACCTGCTGCCTTTTGCTGTCAAATTGCTACAAGACGTCACGGGATCAATGTCACGTGATGCTGTCATGTGAGCGGGCCAACGAATTAACCCTTTAAAGAGTAGGCTAATTTCAGTGGTAAGGATTGTGACTCGCCTCGGTGTCTCCAGGACCATATGCAGGTAGCCTAGGTCCCAAAATTGAGTTTACTAGCAGGGGGTTATTTTTTTATTTCCCTGATCTCAATTTTAAGACGTTTTAAGGACAAAAAAAGAGGATAATAGAGAAGGCTAGTCATACCTGCACTCTCTCATCTCCATCACCTTCTCTCTTTCTTTTTCTCCCAGTCTCCATATCTGGCCCTACTCTTCCATTCCCAAAGCATTGATGTATACATTTACATCTGTGTCAGTGAAGAAGGTAAACAGGGTCGACTGTATGCTTCATATTAGACAAGTGAATTTACTAAAGGCGATAGCCTACCAGGAAAGCTAGGTAACTAGCTAAATTTATTAAATTAATTCATATGTGCCTAGGCCCACCAAATATATTTTAAATAATTTTCTAACGGTTAATAATTCTTCAATAATTATTTTAAATGTGGTTTATTTTGTCATGCATTAGAACTCGATCCTAAAATTAATCTCTTCAGTTAGTCATAGGCTAATAATAGGCTTGTTCGACTGCACAGACCGACGTCGACCAGCAGCTGACTTGAAGCAGTGCATGCTGGTTAGAAATTATGTCTGACTTGAGACAGTTCTGATGCTACATCACTATGACATATGGCATCAAAGTACCCCTAGAACAGATGACTGACTCAGTTTGTTTGGATGCACCTTGCCTCGCCTGAAATGTAGTCGAGAGTAGGTGGCTGCAGCAGTGAGAGGAGGAGTGAAAAAAGTGCAGGCAAGCCGGACAGATCTCACTTCTCGCAGTGGATCAGACACCTCTGAGATCAAAGGCAGATATCGTGGGATTCATAGGATAAAAAATCCTCCGATGATGCAAAATGACGATAAAAGCAAACATCTTCCTTTCCTTTGAACTTGAGCGTTATAACTTTTTTTTAGATGTTGTTTATGCTCAGACTGAAACGTTACACACTAACTAAAGTTAGAAAAGTGAAATCATAATCAACCACCCCTTTAAACATACAGTATGTCATTTTTGGCCATCAGGGGTTGCTAGTCTCTTACAATAACAAAGACGTATATCGATGACACAAAGCATCAAGCGGAATTATGGATCTTATAAGGTGATGGATCTTTTATGGATGAGTGAATACAGTGATGTTTTTAACATGACTGTGATATGAAGCAGGGCACGATTGCTAATGAGAGACGTACTAGTGCCACGCGCATTTCATTCTACCGAACTACACGCAAGTGTTGAATTAATAAATAACTCAGAGGTCAGTTTATTTGACGAATTAAACTTGAGGTAACGCAGCGCTATTTCACTTGCTCCAACAGTTACACTATCACACTAAACTGCATTTGAGTGTGTTGAATGTTGTCAGTTAGGTTGTTTGTTGTCTATATTAGACTAGAAGTAAGCTAGATCAACATTAGAATAACATACAGATCATATTCTAACATTTCATCATACTGAACTAAATAATATTGATTAGTTTTATGTACATTTCCTCACCTATCTAATAAAGTACATGCAACACTCGCTTCACTGTCAAGTCATAGTTAGTCGCGGACATGGAGCTCTCAGCATCTCGAAAGATTTTGATCTTCGTTCTAGTCCTCTTTTTGTCTCAAAGTCTGCTTGCCATGATCCAAAATGTTTGAACAATACAACAACAGCGTGTGCGTCCTGCTAAGCTTAACCCAGTTGTCCACATCTGTCGTCATGGATTCTATGGCAGTGCAAGCGGAAACCAAGGATAACACGGATATGACACCATTGACTGGCGACTCCTCACCCCTGCTGATACGTCCCGTTTCCTTGGTTTAAATCGCAGTTTTTCTCACGATTTACAAATAGTTTGAAACATTGGGGATATTGTAAGTAATCAACTAAACAAAATATTTAACATTGGCCTTGTAGTTTTTGGATATTTTACTGAAAAAAAAACCTACATATTGTACCTTTAATACATTTCTAACTTGAATGCTGTTAAATGCTCAGGCGAGGAGATAAACATATCTCAGGGCGGGGTCTATGCTAATAGGGCAGAGTCCGTCAGCAGTCGTGGGTGTGGCCTAGACATTTTTGACATCACAAAAGCTACACTGCTTATGATTTATGGGGATTAAAAAAGAAGAGTGGGCGGATTTGTACCATTACAATGTGGTTGTATACACCCACTGCCGACACATATTTATGTTCAAACACCATGTAAAAGTGAATTTTGCATAATAGGTACCCTTTAGGGTATGACATAAATAATACAGTGACATAATATAGTTCTGTAAATAAATTAACATAGTTTAATTTAATATAGCCTACATGTGCATTTATTACATCCATGTGTATTTATATCAGTGGTTTCCAACCTTTTTGACTCCAAGGTGTGGGGCTACCTCCCATCCTCCCCACCAACACACACACACATTTTAATTTACAGTTCATGTCATTTTAAATAACATTACTGAAGCAAATAATCTTACCTTCTTCTCACACCATGTGCTCCTGTGACCATGTGTCAGAAAAATACGTCCCACCTTTAAATAGTCCTTGATAGTGACTCCCATAGCTCCAATAAGTGTCACTGTTCTTTGATATACTTTTTAAACCATTCTAATGGGTTACAATCATTTAAAGAAGCATGAATCGAACATAGGGCTTAAGAAAACTGTATTGTAGACCATTAAATAGCCTAAGTGTAATCAAAAAATGTAACTAAAATTTCAGAGTTTCAGAATTCCAAACATTTTAATCACAGGATGTTCACAGGGATCCCTTGTGAACTTTGTGATCCTTTTTTTTTTTTTTTTTGCTTTATAGGCTATATTTGGACTTTCCAGTCATTCTTAGTTTTCTGGATAAGGATTTTTTATAATACTTTTTACTTACATTTTCTACCTGATAAATTACCTAGTCATTACTATAAAATGTATTGCCTGTTCTTTATGAAATTAAATTTATTTACTTGACTTTAATTTACACTTTTTTAGTGCATGGAAGTGAATGATAGTGTGTACTGTATAAAGTCAACCACATTTGACTAGTGAAAAATGCATATATTTTATTCCAAACATTGCTCACACCCCACACTCTGTTAACGACACACATCCTGTGTTTAATCTGTCCTAAGCCTTTGAAGTGCACTAAACCACTAGGGGATTAGACTCCATGGGACGTGAACAAGTGTAATCCCTTTTATGCCCTGCTCACCAAGTGCTGTTCTCATTTGTTGTCTTCTGTTTAAGTGTTTTTTTTAAGGTACCTGCTGACCAGATATGTGAAACTGCCATGGATCCATGGCTTTGGATCTTTGTGAACGTGATGTTTCTTTGACAACATGGAAAGGGTTTAGGTGAGGAATAACAGAATCGTCTTAAAGTGGGCGGTCTTCTGTGGTACAGTGTTCAGCTTTCTCCTTACTTGATGTGGGGGCAGCTACGGCATCTTCTCTTGGCCTGTCGACCCGACGAGGGTTACTTAGCGACAGAAAGTTATGAAAATGAGGACGAGAATGAAAACACGCAGGACAGATTCAAGGATCCCATATACATTCAGGTATGTCAGGTATAAGAGTCAATTGAAGTTAGTAATTGAAGTTGCTTAAAGGTGCAATGTGTAAAAATTCTGAGTATCTATTAACAGAAATGCAATATGACATCCATAACTATGTTTTCAGTGGTGAATAAAGAACTTACTTAATAAACCGTAATGTTTTTATAACCCTAGAATGAGACATTTATATCTACATAACCGCGGGCACCCCCTTCTATGAAGGTCGTATTGTAAAGTCATGTTTCTAGCGAACAAATAGCGCTACAGAGCGTGTTTCGTTCATACCCTGATAGAGAAGTTACAGAACTTCTACAGAATACTAGAAGCTAGCCATAGACACTGCGAGTAGTGACTTTTCCCTTGTCAGTGGTGTAAAATATGTAGTTGGATTGTTACATGTAACTTAGTTCTTCTCCCGCGCTGTGTTATGGCTTTGCTATGTGGGGATAAATGAGCTGGTTATGTTCGTGAGACAGCTGATTAGTACCCTTGTCATTTACCGTAAAACGGAATGATACAGGAATCACTAACCTGTCAATCACGGTCGACAAGTTGATGTTAGAAGCATTTTAAGTCGATCACAAAGAGTTTTCAAAATCAGAGAAAAAAAAGATACACCGCTCTTCAGTAATTTGAAAGTGATTGCAGTACCAGTAATGGCCACAATCTTGCATAAGGCTCCATTTGCAGTTTTGGTTTCAATTTATAAATTGTTTGTGTAGTGACAAAATATTTTGTGATGTGTATCGCTGCCATATTTAAAAGGAAACATAACAGGGTTTAAGTTTTTAGTCATATCACCCACCTCTAAGCAGTTCAACCAGGAAGTTAATTGAAAGTCATGCAGAGAATGTCATTATTGGGAGATGAGAGGGTCTGTTCGGCTTTTGACGTTGGAAAACATGACGGCTAACTTGGATCACGTGAGGCACCTTAGCGTCACATAATGGCAAGTGACGTCAGCGTTCAGTTTTATAACAGTCACAATTTACATTACTCAGCACCAAAACAAATTCTTTGTTTGGCAATAAATCTTTTTCTGATTCTGATGCAGTTTCTTTGGATTTCTTTGGATTAGCGCTTTCGTGTTGTGAATAAATGTTCTATATTTGATGTTGATCGTGAAAGTAGGACTACCGTGTTTGTGGGATGTGCTACAGTGCGCATAAAACCTCATTTAAGAATTGAATCTGTTCATTAAAAAACAACTTTATGGGGCATACATTGCAGTGATACTAGTTACTAATAGTAATTGTAAATTAATTGTTGAAATCTGAAAGCCATTATCATTATCTTTATTAGGCATATGAACTGTCATAAAACATTATCATCTAAAATTCAAGCCTAATTTATTTGTTGAAACTTGGATGCCAAAAAGAGAACACATTATTGTAACGTCCATTTCTTTTTTTTAAGTATTTTGTGTTCAGGCTTTTGGTGGCAGGCTATTCAAAACCTAAAAGTGCAGGAAATATATAAAAAGTGCAGGAAATATACATTTTTTTTTTTTTTTTTTTTTGTGAATAGGCGGTACTGATTAGTGTGACCTATTGCACTCATCATTGTGAAACATCTGAGTAAATGTGACAGGTTTTTCTAGACTGAGCCCTACACAGTTGCCCTCTGCCATCTTCAGCATGTTGGATGGAAATAGGACAGTCTCTTTTAGTTATTTTAATGATGTCAGAGGAAAAATTACAGTTTCCGATCTTGTTCTTACTTTTTATTAACTTTTAATTTTTAGATTAAAAAGCTCTTTGTTCGATGATTTCATAGACAGTTGACTTGCCTTAAAATTTACAGCAGTGGGCGTCTGGTGTATTTTTTAATGAATGCCTTAAATTCACATAAGTTACTCTAATGACCTTTGTGGAGATCAATGAACCTTAAAATCAGCTTCTCCTCTTCTCGGTTCTCGGTTTCTGTTTCCTCTGACCTTTCTGTTTCAAAGGTCGCACTACTATTGGTGAATGTATTTCTGATCAGACCTTTCCCTTTTCATAACAGTATGAATGGGAGCTAAAGAAATCCTAAGCTTTGTCACTGAACGCTGGTCTAATAAACAGTAAAATGAGAAAATGCCTACACTCATTATACACTCAAATAAATACTTTTAATTGAACAAAATACAATTAATTATATGAAATTATGTAGAGTCTTAATTCATAACTCTCAAGAAATCCAGTGGCTGTATGTCACCAGTAGAGTTTAACTGCTTTACCTTAATTAAAGGCAGGGTGGGCGATTTGTTCCCTTTAAAAAGAAAATAATAATAATTATGCTGGTTGAAAGTCTCTTCACATCCTTATAGCTACTTAAGTGGTCTAAATATATATATATATATATATATATATATATATATATATATATATATATATATATATATATATATATATATATATATATATATATATATATATATATATATATATATATAGCAGCCATCTTTTACATTTCCTCCTGAACCGAAACAACACGCTTATGTTGCGTTCATGCCATAACTACATGTAATTTGGAAGAGATGGAAACCTGTGACATTACACTTGTGGTATATGACTTAATTTTATGCGTTTCAAGGCCGAAAAGAATCACTGAGGTCACTGATCTTTAAAGCCTATGATTGAAAATTTTAGCTTCCGGCCAAACTGATAAAAAAAAAAAAAAAAAAAAAAATTATTAGTGGGGTATTTTGAGCTAAAACTTCACATACACACTCCGGGGACAACAGAGACTTATTTTACGTATATAAAAGGGGGCATTAAACCACCCCTTTAAAAATAAATGAAGACATAAAATAGACGTCTCAGAGATGTACTTGTGATGTCAGGGTTTTCTCGCAGTGCATCGGTTATGCAGTGATGTGCTGTGAAATTATTGCGGGGCAAATGAATAGTAATATTAATGAAAGAATATGTAGGTCTATATAATAATATATTTTTATAGTTTAATACATAAATTGGAAATGCAAAATCCTCTGGATATCGGTAGCTGATGCTTTAGGCACAACTTAGCTCTGGGGTTTATCCCTCATATTTCATATCTCCGAAAATTGCCTATACCCTACCTGTAAGCACATTTTAAAATAAGCCGTATAGGCTTTATATTCTCTTGTCTATAAATGATTCCATCAGGTAGGCTTGCCTACTGTTTGCATAGACACACATACACACACATTTTAAGTGTAATTCCAGTTCCCTAATGTTTGTTAAAGCATTAAAACTTTTCATCTGTCATGGATACAGCAGCCTGCGCCAGTGTTTGCATTTTTGGAAGGTGTATAAATTGTAAGATAATGTTCTTGGTGCTTGTTTGGCCTGTCATTCTCTTTTTCTCAGTGTGGTGAGAGGAAGACTTTTTTTCATTTAGTCTAAGACTTGAACATATTTTTCCAACGTTCTTTAAAAACAGGTAGTAATTTAAAATCTATAGAGCAAACTAAAATAATTATCATGTTGAGTGGTATTTCGTGATGCAAATGATATTCAGGCATAGCAAGTAAACACTGTAAAATGTTTTTTGAGGGAAAGATAGATCTATTCTAAGCCATAGATCTAAGCGCTCAAACACCACCACCTAGCGTTTGCGTTGAGCTGTACCTCTCCCACTGTCTTTCCCACACAGTGGTCGAATGTCATTATACTGTTATCTCATATAGGGTATATCTATCTAGCTACAGTTTCACGTTTCTAAGCATTTCCGATGGATATGAATTAGTCTCATCGCACGTCATGCGCTTTAAATACGACATTTCTGATATGCGATGCAGGCTCGTCTTTATGTCTAGCTCAAATTCGTTTTTTTCCCCCAGCAGTTCCTCGCACTGCTCCAGCAGATGTCAGTAGTGCACTTATATCCTAAATAAAGGCCCTAAACCAGCAAAGATGGTAATCACGACTGAGTGCAATTGCTAATTATGTCAGCAAATTAATACGTCATGTTGTTCGGTTAAAGTAGTAAACGTTTTCATCAGGATCAGTCGATGGTACTCGAACTTGTGAAATGTGAGATTTCATTGTGCAAGGAGGAGTTTGTGCTTTTGGTTGCTAGAAAAGCGATTTCAGCACCATGGACAGAGGCATCGGTTCTGCTATCCGCCTTTATTCTGCTATTCTTTATAATCTTCATATAGCTAAACAAGAATGCAGGATATGTAGGTTGTTATGTTATACAATGTTTTAAAATTTTGGCTTTTAAACAGACACATACATAATTTACTTCTAGAGTAAATTTAATTTTGTTTTTCTGAGAAGAATTTGGTGAATGCTTATTATTGTGACCAGTGTACTTCCGAACTGCAATGCATCATATTTTACATGTTACTGTTATTTAAAAGTAGGCAAATTAATTACATTACATGCGTTACATTACTCATGTATTACTTTTGAGTTACTTTCACAAAAATAACATTCTAAAATGAATATGGCTGTAACGAAATGCGACATGATGAAACCGATATGGCAACACTCAGATCCACGAACCTGCAGAATCGAGACACACCCCTTCCAACTCCAAGCCTTATTATCCTTACAGTCTCCAATGTGACCATCTCTTTAAATTAGGCCTATTATTATTATTTGAAGTTTACATTATAAAATACGTTATCCTACACCACAAAAGTTGAGGATAAATTATTTAAAATTTAGAAGCGTTATGGACATGTATTTGCAGACAAAATTTGAAATATAAATTCTTTCTCAGAAAATGCATTTAATGTCAATATTGAAACGTCTGTTTTATACTACTCCCTTAAAGAGTCCAGACATGCATTTTATATTTAATGTTAGGGAAATAGACATGCATTCATTCATCCTGACAAAATTTTTAACTTTAAGGAGGCAATATATAATATACATTTGTAATTCTGTGAATTAAACATTGCAAATCCGATGAAGAAGGGTTGGCTCTCCACAGAACATAAACTATTCATTCTCTTTCATTTTTCGTGTTCGCATTTATGAGGAAAAAACAATGTTACACCGCTCTGAAGTGGCACTAAAAGATGCTTTAAAACTTTCACAGAGACATCAAAACAGAATACACAATCCTTTCTTTAAAGTGAATTCCGTTTTGTATTAATTGTATCTTAATTTTAATCAATGTTTCATCAACCTGCCTGGGTTTGCCTGGATTTAATAAATAGCCTAAGTTAATAGCAGACAATTATAGATAATCACCGCACGTAGGCGCTGCTACTGGAGCGCATGCTCATAAATGAACCGAAACTCAGTGTAGGCTATAGGCTAAGTATAGCCTACTTCACAGACTTGAAACCTATATCTATATTGAAATATCTACTTGTCAACAGAACAATGCAAAACGAAAGAAAACAGATTGCTCTCTGCTTATGAAACGAAATGTGCATTTCTTTCTGGCACATTCACTAGCTGCGAAGTCTAGCAAGACACTAGCAAGTCGTCAACTTCATCTTTATTGATAAACAATTAAAATATCTCCTTGCTATATTTAACATATTCATAATCATTGCTTTTGCCGGTTCTTTGCTAGCTTTTAGGAGGTGCTTTATCGGCAGCACCGCCGCCACCTTTAGCCTACATGGTAGCTACATGAACGCGTCACAACCACATCAAAAACATGATTGCGTGAAAAATACAACATAATCTTATCTGTTTAGAAAGAAAACACAGAACGTATAGAGTCCAATACGCAATACGTCCATCTCGCAAATGTAGCACAGTCTTCTTCATGACATCTTCACCCATTAGCCATTTTTCCAAAGGCCAGCGCGAGCACAGAGGGCTAAATATATGAAACGCTGCCATTTAGTCTTTATTTACAAACTTGGACACCACACGCACCCAACACTGATTGTGACTATATTCAGGCACACTAATTCAATCCAAGAGGTTAAAGGCTATGTCACCCCGACCCCGACCACACATAAGTGGATCTTATGAAGCCCTGGTTCCAGGCAAGAAAGGGATGTGTGATGTTTCTGTGCTTAGGGCAGGGATCTTCCTCAGATTTTCAAGCCCGTGGTCCATCATAACCCTGTCAGTCACATTCTATGACACGTTGACATCTCAAGTGAGGCACACAGGGACATAATCCTTGATTACACGCGTACATCACAGAGACGTCTATTTGATGTGTGTGTGTGTTTACATTTGGAAGACGTTTCCGATGTCAAATAGACGTTTAGAAGATGTCTTTAAGATGTAATGATTTAGAATGTATGTTAAACTGACATCTTAAAGATATTTATCAGATGTTAGTAAACAGCAGATGCTTTCCAGATGAAGTGATCTTTAACAGACATCTTGCAGACGTACATGTGCTAACTGCATGGGAATCGGTCTGGATTTGATGACCAATCATTTAATTGGTGGCAGTATTAAACCTGGCTATCCATTTGCATTAAACACTCAAAACTATATTTAAGCTGCATTGTTTACTTATTGACCTAACGTTTGCGACATTGCGTAGGCTATCGTTTTCTTAAAACACATGCGAATGCTTCGCGTTGGTATTATAAATAATTTTAAAGCAAGTAAGCGCATTTAGTTCTCCAGGAGTGTAGGACAATATTGAAATATGGCATATTTCACTGTTAGATGTAAGTGCATCATGAATCAGTGACATCCAGAGGATTTACGCTACCTTACCTTCGCCACAGCCTCGCGAGAGACACGCATGCGCATTGACACAAACAGCCGGTCTTGAAAAATCCTTATGCCAACGGATGTAATCAAGGCAAAGAATAGCTATCTCTTATCTCTGGGCATACATGGTGAAATTGTAAGTATGGGGATCATTCATAAGTTGATTAGGTGCCTGTGGATAAAACGATATTTGACTTTGATTGTTAAAGATGGCATGTCATATTTGACAGAAATGTCTTTTCGATGGTTGTCCTGGGTGATAAAGAGATATTGGAGCTGTGCTTCATGGTGGCATTGATTTTTGCAATGCGATGATATGCGATGGAAATGCTGTTAGTACATTACGGGTTTTTGTTGTTGTTGTTGCTTTTGACAAGAGTAGAATGCGCGGTGTCTTTTTTTATTTTCCGCGTGTGCCCCATCTTTATGGATGCGATTCACATTTAAAACTATAATATTAATTGTTTCGTCAATTCTGCTTCGATGAAACGAAGCCGACCATATCAGGCTTTTTCTGTCAGCCAATCTAATCATCAACGTTGGCCAGTCGTTAAATCAAGGAGATGAAATACTCCGTAAATGTGTATGTCTGTGTTTTAAAACCGTGTTTATCATCATCAATCACGGCTCAAGCATTTCTTATGCACCGCGGCTGTGAGATCCGACTGCAGCCAGAAAGCGTGCTGCGCCCCCTCCTCCTACCCCCAAATATTCCAACATCTTCCAGCTCAGAATTTGATGCCACAAATTCTTTGGAAATAACACAGCAAGATATATAGTAAGCTTAAAACAATAGATCTGTAGTTTCTTAATAATCAGCCTACAACTCTCATTAGCATGCATTTCTAAAGATAACTCAATTCAGGACCCTATACATTTGCTTAAAATAACAGTCACTTGTTATCCATGAACGGCATGGTTTGTTTGAGCCCCAAAGTCATGTTCTTTAAATCAGTACAGACACCAAAGCTTGAAGAAATAGAGAAAACCCACCCACATGGCAACACGTCTAAATGTATTGTGCTGTTGGCTTAAGCATGTTTGCAGAATGAGAAGCACTGTAACACTGAATGTGATAATTAGCCTATCTTGTGATAACATGCTTATGATTCAGATATGGAAGAAATTGGAATCCAGTAGTTATTAGATGTAAGGTTTGAACTTTTTAATAATAATAATAATAATAATAATAATTAAAAAAAAAAAAAACCTTGCACCCTTCTCACATGAAAATCTAGAAATTCTTTGCAAAAAAACGATGCCACTGGTGCAGAAAATTTTACATTATGGCCAATGTTTAAGAATGGGAAGTATACTCAAATCAGCTGCAGAGAGCATTCTGAGTTAAGTATGATAAAACATGTTAGGTCATGTTAGTGTTTGTGACATGTTAGGACATTCTAGTTTCTGGTCAAGTTAAAGCATGTTTTGTTCATCTAATCTATATGTGCCTTTAGCATCCTGCTGGGGTTGCCGTTCCATCCTTTTTTCCCCAGCATAGTCAGTTAATGGAAACCACTTTCGTGCATATTTGTTTGATCGGCCTCTGTTTTTTTTCTTCTGCGCAGCTTGTTTAAAAGCATTATTTTCTCCATTGGAAACCACAGAATGTTTAAGTGGACTTGAGGAAAATAACTTCCTCTGATATCTACACCCTACAATTGCTTGTTGAACCATTAATTCGTCCCGTTGATCTCTGTGGCTGCAGTTGTATTGGCTCCATCTCAGTTGCATCCTGTTTCCTGCAGCCCATGGGATCAGAGCGGATGGAGATGCGAAAGAGGCAGATGTCGGTGCAGCAGGAGTCGGTGGCGGGCACCACAGCACCGGCGCAGAACGAGCAGCCCGGCCAGGGGAACCGTGCATCCAACGCCTGCTGCTTCTGTTGGTGCTGTTGCTGCAGCTGCTCCTGGTAGGAGTTTTTTCTCATTTACACTGCTAATGTGAGATCTTATCTAACAAGGTTAGTTTTGGGCCAGGAAATCACCTTATTATAAGACAATCACTGCAACTGACAAGACTGTTACTTGTGTTTACTCCAGTAAATGCACCTGGAATATGATTTAAATGCTCATTGTGCATGTATGTAGTATGATGCAATTTTCACTGAGGTGTCAGAGATCCCAAGACATCTGCTTTGCAAATCAGCAGAACTCATGGCGTGCTGGCTGTGAGCTTATAATGAGCACCAGTAACAGTTAACTGAACATTGAGAAGGTGAAAGCTATTCCAAAGCTTCCTAATGCTGACTGTTAGGTGTCTTGGGATTATGATATGTTTACTACCTTGCAGTCTCACTGTTAGGAATGAAGACAGAGAAGAGAGGAACCGGAGAGCCTCGTATGATTTTAAAACAGAGGAGAATGCAGACTTCGAGGAAAGGTCAGTCATTCCAGCTTTTTATAGGAAGAGTTTTAGTAAAACTACAAAAGAGATGTAACTTACTCTTTATTTTTATGTTAAAAACAAACAAAACAAAAAAACTGACATCTTTGATAGCTACAATGTTATGTTAAATGGGTGTAATTTTATAATTATCTGTAAAAAAAACAAACAAACAATACAAGCATTTACACACAAAATATTTAAAAATTGAAACCAAAAAGGCTTTCATAGCTTCATAATCCAAATTGTTTGCCAAGTTGTGTTTTAGATTTTTATTTATATTTAAAGTAATAGTTAGTTTCGTGAGATGCAAGTTCCTGTGAAATTATACCTAAAATATTCTTTATTTTTATTTCAATGAATTACTGTAGTTCTACGAGATTGAGAAATTATACATAGAACATTATTTAATTTAATTTTAATTAATTACTATAGTTCTGAGATGCAACGTTCAGAGAAATTATATTCTTTATTTTAATTTACATGTTCTTCCAGATGTAACTTTCTGAGAAATAAAGAGAAATTTATACACCTAAAATATTCTTTATTTTTATTTAAACAAATTACAAGCTTTCAGAGAAATTGCACCTAAAACATTATTTAATTTTATTTTATTTTTTGCCGTTTTTAGCAAACGTTTGTTGTTGCCAAAACTGACTAAGACCCAACTGTTTTTTGGCAGTCCGAAACCGACTGCGGAGGAGATACACTTGTGGGGGCAATCCTTTGACAAACTAATGCAATGCCCCTCTGGAAGAAGTGCCTTCCGGCAGTTTCTACGCACCGAGTTCAGTGAGGAAAACATGCTCTTCTGGTTGGCCTGCGAGGAATTTACTAAGGAAACCAATAAAAGCTTCATCGAGGAGAAGGCGCGGATAATTTATGAAGACTACATTTCTATTCTCTCACCCAAAGAGGTGAGTGAACGCATCAGCACGTGTAGAAAAAGCCTAATCACATTTATAATCAGAAGGATTCATTGTTTTATGTGCTTTTTTTTCAGGTGAGCCTCGACTCTAGAGTTCGGGAGGTTATAAACAGGAATATGCTGGAGCCAACATCCCACACGTTTGACGACGCCCAGCTCCAGATATACACACTAATGCAAAGAGACTCGTATCCGCGATTCATGAACTCCCAAGTCTACAAAAACATGCTTCAGTCAGTCTCTGAGATGTCGGTGGAATCTTAGATCTCTGTGATCCCGGTGAAATGCCCCCTCCCTATCTTTTGTTTGGTAGCTTTCCTTGTGTAGAATATGTTTAAAAGGACCTCGGCGTGGGTCCTCCCAGGGATTTTACTGCTATAGCGATCTGTACCTGAAAAAAGACGCTCAGGTCTCCAGGTCACTGGATAAAATAAAAAAAAAGTCTCAAATTTCCTGAGGGCTCAACACCACAAGTACTGCTACAGATCAGCATAGCAAACGATGCTCCAAAGGATTACCAGTGCGTTTCGATGTTTTTGAGAAAACAATCTATTTGATTTATTTTACCGTTTTTTTTATTTATTATTATTTCAAAGTTTTTGTATCAATGTTTGAAGGAAGATGTGATACCAATTGTGGGCTATAGACAGTATATACAGTAGATATATTTATGAATTTGTATTACATTTGTTGTGTTACAATATTTAAAGAAAAGGGAATTATGGGTAACAAGTATTGCCTGTTAATGAAAATGCGTATGAGAATCAAAGCTCAAGTCAAGGCAACACTTCGGCTCTACTCACGTTGTACACAGTATTGTTTCAGCTACTTTTCTAACTACTCCCTGTTATAATGACTTGGCATCTCCAATGAGAAATCACAATTATCAGAAAAATGATAAAAGTGATAATAAAGGAAATATACTAGTTTTAAAAAGGTGAAAATGTTGAAATGTCATGGATAAGAAAAAGATAATATCATAATTGATTTTTTTTTTTAAATATATCTCAGACAGCTTAATAATATTATTTGCTCGGCTTTTTGTACTGCTTGAAAATATCAATAATTTATTTACAGATATATAATTTACCCATAAGTGTTTTTGTGTATCATTGCATTCATTTATTCCTGCTGCACCCAAAATGAGCAGCTAAGAAACGGTTGGACATGTCAAGTATTCCTTGCATGTACTCAACTCATTTGTGTACAGTATGTAGAGGTAGTAATATTTTTAGGAATGACCTCTAATTGAAGAGATTTAACATGCAGGCATTTTACTTCAGTATCAAATGTGGTTCAGATCAGAGTCCTGAATGGAGAGGTGCAGGTTTTATTGTTAGGGCCCTCATTAGTAGATGACACCAAAGCATCCAAGTCCAGTAAAACTGTGTGATTAGTTTTCCTCCAATACAACTGACTAGAATTGGAGCTGCCAAGTTTTTACTTTTAGTTTTGTGAATTACTTTGTTGCCTGACTTTCATGTCGTTCAAAGACAAGATCCTCACTCGAGGAAGTGCCTTGACATTCAATTTTGTGGCATCTCTTTTTTGGCAATAGTTGATTTAAACTCTTGCCACATAGACTCTGGGCCTTTGATCAATTCATGAGATGACTTGTCCTGCACAGTGACTTCTGAATTGAACTATTGTACTTCAGTCGCCTGTAGTTTTGGAGCGAAAAACACCATTGGTTTTGTGGAAGTACGTCTGTTTGTCGGTTAGTCCGGGACAATTCATTAAGATTGTTGATCTGAGTCCAGATGTACTTTTACCAACATGTATTTCATGGTGGTGCTTCTACTTGTCTTAGACTAACTTAATATGAAATGTGCAATTGATATGTGCAATTTGAGCTGATGGATTCACCACATAGATCAACCTCAAACACAATCTAAGCCAATGGTTTGGAGTTATACTGCCTATAAATCTTTCTTTCTTTCTCTCTTTTTTGTTGTTGTTCTGTAAAGTATACAAAAAAAGTGTTATTTTCCAATCAGTTTACATAAAGATTATAATACTTTTTTGATTAATAATATGTGAATGTTTACAGTAATCAGATTTGTTTTTTTCTTGTTTTATTGAATTGAGAAAAATAATGATTTGTGGGCATTTGGAATCTTTAAGATACAATAAAGCACAATAATTTTAAAAACGTGTGGTTGTTATCAAAGCTGCGGATTGGAGTATATGCCATATATGAACTTGTGGGATCAGGGAACTCGGGTACGAATCCATCCGGGGTCTCTCACCCCTACTCGTAGGTTTACAGACAAGCATTAGGTTTTAGTTCAATTAGGAGGACATTTAAGTTGCTTAAATAAAAGTGCCTGAGGAAAAAAAAAAAAAACATCTTGAGATAAAACAATGGCATTGACATATTTTAAGATATGTAAGTGCAAGTAGCTTTCAGTTAAAACAGCTCAAACATTCCTTTTAGTCTGGGACTAGGCCTAAGCCTTGTCTGTAAAACAAACCAATATTGTTCTAAATAAAGCCAGAAAAGTCCAAAAATAAAATATTAACACTTTACAGTAAGGTTTCATTAGTTAGTTAAAATGAACTAATAATAAACAATCATTCGACAGTACTAGTTATTCTTTGTTAATGTTAATTTCAACATTTACTACATTATTAAAATCAAAAGTTGAATTTGTTAACATAAGTTGGTGCACTGTGAACTAACATTTTGGTTAACGACATTAACAAATATAGTAACCAATGTATTGCTCGTGGTTAGTTAACACATCAACTAATCTTAACAAAGTAAACCTTATTGTAGTGTTACCAATAAAATTATACAAAAATGCAGTGCCCTTATTTGTCCAAGACAAAAATATTCGTAAATAATCAACAATATACAGTGCTGGTCATAATTATTTGCCCCCTTGGTAAATATGATCAAAGGTGGCTGTAAAAAATAAATCTGCATTGCTTATCCATTTGATATTTCATTTAAATAAAATCCAAAAATCTAACCTTTTTTTTTTTTTAAGTAAAAGAATTGAAAATGGAGGGAAAATCACATTATGAAATAAATGTTTATTTATTTATTTATTTTTTATATAAAATATCAAAAGAATTAACAATGCAGATTTAAAATCTTTGATCATATTTACCAAGGGGGCAAATAATTCTGACCAGCACTGTATACAATAAAGTATACAGACAGTGACATTATTTTAGGCTTTATTTGCCATTTAACATGTAAATAATAAATCAAAAATTTCAGAATATCCCCAGGGGGTTCTGTTTGGTCTCCATTTACAGTGCTGCCCACTCACTTTCTCTGCTCTGGAGAGGATGCACCTGGGAACCTTTCAAAAGAACCTAGAAGCAAGTGTCCTCCCCATTTAGCCATTTCTAAGCGCAAAGTTTGTGTATCCATAAAGAGCATTCATAATGTAAACACCTTTTCCCATTAAAGAATGGGTGAGTTGCTCTCCTTAACATCTTAAATTACTGTAAATGATGAGCAAAGATGCAGTGGTCTTAGGATTAGATAAACCATCACCTCCTGTTTTCCATATTCACAAAAGGACGTCAAGAACAACCACCAAAAGGTTGTTTGTTATTCAGATGAGACATTGCTAATGCAAGGGGCTTGTTAGGACATCAAGGCGGCAGTGGGTAATACAGCAAAATCATTTGAGAAGAGAGCGATAGAAATTCATGAAACTGAGCGATATCGTCTACCTTCAAATGGCAAGTTCTATCCACTTTGTATTGATCGCCGACATCATAAGTAACATTGCCATGACTGATCAGATATGAAGCTGTTTTCTTCCTTTACAACACGATCATTAATTTGTTAATGGTGAATGCAAGACTTGCCTAGTTTTTTTTTTTTTTTTGCTTTTGAGAAATTGTGACCTCTAACAAACTAAATAATCCGTTCAACAAATAAATGGTAACACTTTTATTTTTAGTGTCCTTATTACACAAGTTACTACAGTAATAACAATAAATTATGCATAATTACACGCAACTAACCCCAAACCAAACCCTAACCCTACAGTAAGTACATGTAGTTAATTATTATTACTCAGGACACCTTAACACAGACACCTTAAAATAAATATGTTGGCATGGACCAGAACCAAGACGGTGACGTTAATCTAAGACTATCCATTAGCTTATAAATTATTTTTGTGAAGAGTAATAAAATAAAAATTGACAATCGTCTCAGATGTGGAAGGTGCTGTCTTGTTAAAACGATGTATAAATCAGACTCGCCATCAATCTTTAAAACATTTTACTCCTGAAAGTATAAGCCATGTACACAGTAAAAATTTGTAGATCATGCATATAAATATGTATAATTCAAAGAGTGAGTGACAAAGAGACTCAAAAGTATCTTCCAAATAAACAAGGTAAAAAAAAAATAATAATTCTCGAGCCGTTACCGAAAAACAAACATACGCTAAAAGTATTTTATTTTAAAATGGGTAGGTTTGTCAAGGAAAATTAAATAGTTTTGACTAGTTTTCATTAAGCAAAAGCAAAACTATCTAAACATGAATGTTGTCAAAATGTTTATCTACGAATATAAAAAGTGATGGTAAAAGAAAACAGAAATCCGACAACATTAATCATAGTCCGAAGGCCTATGGCCTAGCTATACGTCAAGTTAAAACACAGGACATGAGTTTGTGGACCGTTATAATAAAACAAACAGTTGATGGGATCTATTGTGGCCTTTGTACATCAGGTGCGCCATTGAATTGTCATCAATGATACAGAAAACGTGGTCCTGGAAATCAGCTACCTCTTCAAACAAAGAGAACAACCCCCAACTTCAGCAGAACTGTGGAAATAATGTTAGACAATGTTAATTAAATACAAAATGTTTATAGGTAATATAAAGTTAACAATAGAAAACATCAAAAGAAACGCATACCTTCCACCTATTTCCACATTCATTGCAGAAGACAAATGTTGTCATCGGTTCATCAGCACTTCGAGTTTGAACCTAATAATAAAAAAAAAAAAAAAGATTTCTGTTTATAAAAAGTATTTATAAAAATCAACTCCACAGATATTCAGAAAACATGTCTGGTTACCTGGGTGTATGTACACTTCTTCTTTTTGCATTTCCCGCAAGTGAACAGGTCAGTCTGGGTGCCCCCAGAAGTGGCCACCTGATGGTCCCTGATGGCCTCTTTGGTCAGATTCTTACGCATCTCCTTCAGCTCATCGCTTGCCATTTCCTGTTTGATTTAGATTTCCACACGGTCACCTCTGAGAGAACATGTTCCTATAACTATTAGAAAACGGCAAAGTGAATGCACTACCGTGTCACTGCTTACTCACCTCCGCTGTCATTTTTGCCATGCGTTCTGGGCTCACATTCCCACAAAGCACGTTCCTTCTCAGGTTGGGGTTCTTTGCATCCTTAAGATTGGAGATTCGGCTTCGTACACGATTCTTGTATTTCATGTCAGTATTTTTAAACTCCGAAAAAATACGTGAAAATTGGTCAAGGAAATGCAAGTAAAATGTAATATAAATTATACATAATATGTGGAGGATTTTTTTATATTAATAATCACACTTTACACATTTCAATAGCAATAATAACTTTTAGGATGAATACTACAAGGATATATTCTTCAATCTGAGCTCCAAGTTCATCGCAATCAGCGCCAATCGCAATGTGATCATCTGAAAAAAAAAAAAAGACAAAACACTTCAGGCATTTAAAAACAAGAAAACTCTTAACTTTAAACAATGCATGTGTGTGTTTGGGAGTGTAACGGTACATATATTCGTGCCAAATCGTACAGAAGTCACATGCAGTTGCACCACAGACATATAGACGAATCCGGCGAAACTACCGGAAGTAAGCGGGGCGCCATTACTGAGCTGTTGCTGGGTAGCGTTGCGCCATTGCCTCCTATTGTTTTAGTTGCAACTTGTGTCCACTGGAATAAACAGCCCGCGATTTACGACTGTCACTAACGTTACAACGTTATCCCTTGTATAATGTCGAGTGGGTAAACAGTTTCCGGTATAAATTGTTTCAATGGTGGCAGTAAAATTTCAATTTTGAAGAGAAAACATTGTGAATACCCCGGGTCGACTGCCCCTGTCTGGTGCCGTACGGTTTACAGATTTCCTGGGCGAGTACAAGACGTGGACATTCGCGTATAATAACAATTATTTAACGACATAAGTAAAAAAAAATATAATAAATATGTGATATAGTGATCAGCAAAATCTCCTCTCTTGCTATTTTTTCTATTCAATTAACATGCTATGGTCATTAAATGGCTTTCCTGAGCTAAATGTAACGTTATGTGACATAATTGTTTTCCTGCTGTTATATTGACCTCTTTCCATGGTTTAAAAACACTAATTGGTCGATATTATGTATACTTTCTAGCTGTAACGTTACCTTACCCTTACCTGTTGCAATGTGAAAATGAGATAAATAATGGACACAAATGAAAAACATGAATTTGTTTATTTGATTTCATTCATTTATTTATTTATTGTTGCCAAATGGACAGATCTTTTTATAGTTTCCTCGTTAGCAAACGTTAGCCTAGCTAGCTTGCCAAGCTATTTTCATAAATAACGTTAATCTGTAAGATCGTTTGTACCTTCATCTGTGACTGGAGGCCACAGCAGTCACAGATCAAACCAACAAGTCATTCTGCCTGGCTGTAGCAGTCATCGAGGGTGAGTTCGCGTTATCACCGAGGTTTGTTAACATACCGGTGCATATGTCTATATGCCTGTGTAACAGCTCAGTAATGGCGTCGCCACAAGATGGCAGCCTACACAGAACGCTCGTCGGATTCGTCTATACACTAGACGTCACCTTGGGGTTCTAAGCATGCATCAAAACCGTCGCCATCTTGCAACAGGGGTCTTGTCATAGGATGTAGCTAGGTAACGCTGCTCTCTCTGCCTTTACTTCAAATTAATTGATGGTGGCGGACTTTTGTGCTGTGTATGATGTTCACACGAATGAAATCTGAACCAGGAAGAATGTTTTTTTTTTCTTTTCTTTTTTTCTGGAATCAATGATAAATACATGTCTGACCATTGGAACGAACCAAAACATTGAGAAAATCGCATTCATGATGATTTATGGTGATTTTATTTCCATTAGACCTTTGTCTACATTGACGCTGATGCATTAAAGTG